AGCAGGAAGCTGCTGATTCTTCATATGCATACAGAGAGCTGTTTCAGGCTGGGAAAATGTTGGGGCAGGATCTAAGCCCTTCTTTTCCATGCAATGAGGCCCCATCCGAATCAGGCCTCCATGAGTCTGAGAAGCACAGAGTTCCCAGAATATTCCTGGGATGTAACTGGGGATGCCTGGGACATAAGGGTGTAGACTTTCCAATTTCCCGGGGGGGGGGGCTGGGGCTGGGCCAGAGGCATTGCTTTGCTAGGAGCAAGGGTGGCTCCCGGGGGAGGCTGAGCACCTTCCTGAAAATTTCGGCGGGGGCTGACGCCCCGCTGCCCCCACAAAGATTACGCCTAAGTTAGGCTTTGTAACCGTTTAAGTTACTGAATGCAGTCAGATTCAGTATCAAAGAAAGAAGTTATCAGCTAGTCTTGGACAATAACAGTGAGAAGTTTCTCCTCTGGTATTAAAAGAAACAATATAGACCATTTTGATGCTGCAGTCTACATATTTTTTTAATAGGGCCATTCTCCTCAAAGCCTCAGGAGAAGGACCACCAAAACATAGGAAAACTCAGAGATGAACAGCTCTAGATCAATGATCTTCTCACAGCAGTGAAGAGAAGACTGATGGAAAACTGCTCCCCTTCTCCCTGACTTGGGGCAGTTCGGGTGTGAAATGCCAGCTCTGGGGGGGGGGGAGCACTCCCCATGCTTAGAAAGCTCTAGAAATCTGTAGAATCCCTCTCCGCAGTTACACATTTTTTAATAGGGCCATTCTCCTCAAAGCCTCAGGAGAAGGACCACCAAAACATAGGAAAACTCAGAGATGAACAGCTCTAGATCAATGATCTTCTCACAGCAGTGAAGAGAAGACTGATGGAAAACTGCTCCCCTTCTCCCTGACTTGTGGCAGTTCGGGTGTGAAATGCCAGCTCTGGGGGGGGGGGAGCACTCCCCATGCTTAGAAAGCTCTAGAAATCTGTAGAATCCCTCTCCGCAGTTTGCCTGCACAGTCCTATGTGGAACAGAAGCCACGAAGACAAACTGTAGGAACTTCTTCAAAAGAGACTTCTTGGAAGGATTTTTTGTCTCTTTTGTATAGTTCTTCGGGGTAGTGGTTAAATGCATGAACTCTAATCTGGGAGAACCAGGTTTGATTCCCCACTCCTCCACTTGCAGCTGCTGGATGACCTTGGGTAAGCCATAGTTCTGGCACAGCTGTTCTTGAAAGAGCAGTTCTCAAAAGAGCTCTCTCAGCCCCACCTACCTCACAGGGTGTCTGTTGTGGGGAGGGGAAGGGGAAGGAGATTTTAAGCTGCTCTGAGACTCCTTTGGGAAGTGAAGGGCGGGGTATAAATCCAATCTCCTCCTCCTCCTCCTCTTCTTCTTCTATTGTTCCCATCTTTTCCTTATTTTGTCCTGTTCAGTTAATGTATTTCAGTGTTGATCTTTTAGTATGCCTAGCCTAACCATGATTTAAATTTCCCTTTAAATTTAAATTTTCCTTTGAAATTTCCCTACTTAGCCTCCAAAAAAAAATCCAAAGAGAGCTGCCAACAGGAAGCTGCTGATTCATATGCATATTTGCCTCTATCAGACTTGGGCTCAACAGAAAGTAAGATGTGCTTGCACACTATATAGTATCATTGCCCACCAGTCAAGAGCTATCTTTAGTAGTTCTGCAGGAAATGCATCAAGACCAGGAGATTTTCTCATTTTAAAATTTTTAATCAATTTAATTATCTCATGACTAGTGACAGGTTTCCATTTTGACGTTTGCTTGCACCCATATTCACAATGATAAATAAGGATGGAATCATTCCAGCTTAATGGAAAACATCGCTGGTCGCTCCTATTTACAAAAAAGGAGACGAAACTGACCCAAATAATTACTGATCGATTAGCCTTGTAGATTGGCAAGATCTACGCATCTTACCTACAGAAAAAGCTGCAGTGTTGGATGGACGAAGTGAAGATAATAGGTAACAAAAGCAGGCTTTAGAAAAGGCTACTCTTGTGTAGATCATTGCTTCACACTGGCCTCACTGATAAGCAGATATGCACTAGACACATCTGGCTTCTTAAATGTATTGTGTATCTCTGCCAAATCAGTGCAACAAGTCACACAGCTTGGGGAAGTAGGCTTGGCCAGTTTGGTGTAGTGGTTAAGATAGGCTTACCAAGTGGCGGCGGGGGGTCCACATGTCTTTACAGGATCCCTGCCGCGGGGATGGCGATACGCATTGCACCCACCGTCGCCAGGATGTGACGCTACGCGTCGCTCTGGCAACGGGGCTGTTTGGAGTCCCGTTGCCAGAGCGACGTGTAGCATCACATCCTGGCGACGGCGGGTGCAACGCGTATCGCCGTCCCCGCAGCAGGGATCCTGTAAAGACATGCGGATCCCCCGCCGCCACTTGATAAGCCTGGGTTAAGAGTGGCAGACTCTAATCTGGAGAACTAGGTGACCTTGGGTCAGTCACAGTTCTCTCACTCAGCCCCACCTACCCCACAGGGTGTCTGTTGTGGGGAGGAGAAGGGAAAGGAGATTGTAAGCCGCTCTGAGACTCTGAGTGAAGGGCGGGGTATAAATCCAATTCTTCTTCTTAAGCCAATTTTATGTCTTGAAGGAGCAACAGAGTAACATGGCTGCCCTTCTCTGGATCTTGCTTATCCAACTAGAGCTGATGCAGTGTCATTGCTAGAACTAAGAGCATGGAACCCCCCGATTCAAATTCTACCTTGGCCACAAACTCACCATGTGACCTCGGGCAGGCTGCTCCTTGCCTCTGCATCCTACATAAACTATGGGGAAAGTAATAACGATCTACCATTACAAAGTTATTGTAAGGATGACTGAGGCCATGTATGCAAACTATAGTGCATGCAAGCAACACAGCTTCATGATCTTTCTGGATGACTGTATTAGTATAATTTATGTATCTATTTTATAGTTTTAATGTTTTTATTATATGTTGCATATCGCTCAGAGCCCTGCAATAGCAAAGACTGGGTGATTCATAAGTTTAATAATAAATAAATAAATGATCTGAATAAAACCTTTCTAATTCTATTGTGCTGTTTAACTAGGAGCTTTATACACCTGGCCAAAACATCATTCATGGGTGCTTATTGTAGCTGAGAGATTACTGGTTAGCCAAAATACTTTCTATCTACTGTTTGTGTATGTGCCACTATGGGATGAAGATACTGCATTCATGGTGAATGACACACGATAAAAATGCGCACAGTAAGTAACGAAATTCCCCATCACTGCTACTATCTCAGCTCCTGTCTGAGCAGGTTTTACAAGCCAGTACTGACGTCTTTGAGGAGCTATAAACTCTTCAAGATATTACAGGCTTTCACCATCCTCAAAACACAACCACTAAATAACAGGGAAGATTTCTATATTTTTAACAAAACCTTTTTTTAGTTCTTGCAGTTATAGGGGAAAGCTTCAATATGTGATTAGGAAACACAGAAAGGAGGCCTCTCAGATTTTAAACAACAAACAAAATGCCATCTGTGATGAGTAAAAACCCCATGACTTAATAAATAGGTAAAATGCATTTTATTAAATAGCTTAGATCACTGCTACTTTGGAAAAAATGCTGATAATATAACTTCGGAAATAATCATCAATACAGAAGAGGACTGAACAATTATATACAGGATAAACTGGCTAACTTCATAGAAATTGATGAAAATGTAACCACAGAAAATAAAAGAGTGTTTTTGTTGATTGCTTCACTTGAGCTTTAAGAAGAGATTCTTGTGTTTTACAAAGCATTTTTCTGGAGCCAGTCACAAAAGTTTGTTCTATTTTAAGCAAAGGAAAAATGGCACTCTCAAGATTCTTAGAAGAGCCATAAAGAAAAATCTATCCACACATTTTTATCCTACCACTCCTCCAAGGAGCTCATGGCAGCGCACATTTATTTATTAAATTAATTTATTTTGTATCCACCCTATCCCACAAGCGGGCTCTGGGCGGCTCACAACACATAAATATAACAGTTTAACAGATTAAAACATTATATATTTAAAAAAATTAAAATTCAAATCCATACATAAAACACAAGATGGCAATAATACAGTTCAAGTGCTCTCAGAAAGTTTTGACCCTTGTATGTGTGCTCATATACACTTGCATATCACTGCACTGATGGCAAGTACACAATCAGATTAGAAGAGCATAACAATGCCATCGACATGAGCATCCATTAATAGACCGGTATCATATAGGCAGTGTGGTGTAGCAGTTAGGGGGTTTTTTTACCTGATCATGTATTGAAATAAACAACTAAACTTAGAGCGTGATCACATGCACAATTAGCCGCGCCATAGGCGTGAATGCCGGGTGGATTTAAAGGGCGCGATCAGACATGAACATCTGGGAAGCGCCCCGCACCTGTCGGCAACCCGTTTTGCGCTGCCACAGAAGCGGAGTAAAAAGACACCAGGGAAAGTCCAGTAGCAAAATGGTTGCTAGGGGCCACAGTTGGACTTTCCCCTGTCTGATCGCTCAAGCATGCTCTCATGGCATCAGGATGGTCTAATTTAGGTCATCCCGACTCCGTGCCGTTGTTTTTTTTTCCCCTTCTCAGTATGCGCATCATCACACACTCCATAGGGAGCCCTCAGTGCAGACATGCGCTTCATTGATTCCCCATTTAAGCGCATCAGGAACAAATGGCAAAACCCCACACACAACTCACCCGCGGTTGCGTCTGATCACGCAGTGGCGGGCTGCCCCCGCAGCTTCAAAGGACTGTGTGATCACGCAACTGCAGGTCAAATTCCTCCAGAGGAAATAGCCTCCCCCCCCACGTTATCTCACGCGTGTGACCACCAACCTAGGTTAGTATTTCAGACTAGGACCCGGGAAATGTGAGTTCAAATTCCCATTCAACCATGATGCTCACTGGATCTTGGTCAAGTCACTCTCACTCTCACCCGAAACTACATTACTTGGGTGTTGTGAGGATAAAATAGGAGTGGTAGAGAACTAGTGAGGGTAGATGTTATTTATGCCCCTTCACAATTCTACTTTCCAAATCAATGGGAATTGGGAAAATAGATACTAGGTGCCAGGTTGAAGGCAGCTTACCTCATTCCTTCCATTGCCATCTTATCCAAGTTAGGAGTGTCTTTTCGTTTGCCCCAGTTGCTGCCAAGGTCTCCCCATCCGATATCATCTGCTAAAATTATTATGAAATTTGTTTTTTGGGAACGGGGTTCTTTCCCACCCAAAGAGATGCCTGGATGGTGACAGGAGAAGAGTTCAACAAAGCAGGTGACCAACACCAATGTTTTAATGAAGAGAATCCCCATGGCATCAAGAATGCTCTTCTAGAAGGTTAGCTCCAAAATATCCTCATAATCATGATCAAACTCCCATGGTCTTGGCTTCTTCATAAGCAGCATACAACTTCATATCTCTTGGAGTGTCTCCACATTTCTGCAGAAAAGGAAATCAGAAACAGATATGAGGAAAACCCAGAGATGGTAGCAACATGACAGTGTCATCTAGGTAGGGTGTATTGTGGGGTTTTCTGACACAGCACCTTGGAGACTGGAGTCTTCTGGCACCTTTTTATTCCATCTAAAGCTCACATCTTCAGATGCAATCTTCTTTGCATCTGAAGAACTGGACTCTAGTCCACAAAAGTTTATTCTGGAATGCCAATTCCATTGCATTTTGCAGGTGTTTGTCCCAAATATAAAATTAAATTGCGATAATAAGAATTATGTGCTTCTCCCCCCTCCCAAGTTTTGCTGCACCTTGTCTATTAATGCTGTTCCTCAAAACTATGACAACAATGTCTGATATTCTTGAGGTCATCTTTTCACCTTTATGATTCAGAAAACAACAAGAGACCAGAATTCGGGTTAGGGAGGTTGTTTCAACAGACATTGGAATGGAAAATTTTCAAATACACTCATGAATGTCTTTCATATGCACTTTCATGATAAAATTTAACCCAAGGTGAACACAAGAGTAGAAAAACAACAAAAAATCAAGAACAGCACCTGCTATTCCTAATATCACCTCATATGAGTTACAGAAGATCTAACTTCTGTAACTGATAAAAGTCATACTTGACCTCTCCTCTATACTCTTCAGAGCTGATGGTGATTATACATGCAGCATGACTGAAAACAGGACATGAATAGAATAGGTCAGACAGGAGTCTTTAGTCACTGTGCATTTCGCCTATGGGCAAGCAAACTCAGTAAACATAAAGATTTAAAACTATTTTCAAGAATTTACAAAGGCTACTACACAATAGCAATTTCAGTTTAGATACACGTGTATTAAGTATTCATACTGAACAGACAACATCATTCACTAGGAACCAAGCTGAACTTGCACTGTGCTCTACCTCAGTGGTAGAGCATCTGCTTGGCATGCAGAAGGTCCCAGGTTCAGTCCCTGGTATCTCCAGTTGAAAGATCTGATAGTCTGTGATGTGAAAGACCTCTGCCCGAGACCTTGGGGAGCTGCTACCAGTGTGAGTAGACAATACTGACTTTGATGGACCAAGGGTCTGATGTAGTTTCATGTACTCAACTTAATCTAACGTTTTTGATACTCAGGTAACAGCCCCAAGCAAACTGACAGACAGATAGGTAGGAAAATTCTGTAACTGTGCTAAATGGCTACTTGGAGAAGTGACTGTCAAATAATGGACCCAAGTCTACTTAGGCCACATTCAGATACGACAATACATTGTCATTTACAGGCCATGGTTTGTTCAATGTTCAGTTAGCTGTGACATCTGGATGCAGCTACCCCAAGAGAACTTTGGGGTTGGCAGAAAGCATGATTTCAAATTACGGTTTGCAGCTGTATTGTTATCCACAGTTTGTACTCATCATCTCTGTTCTGATGTCTGAATTTACCAACCTACATTGATTGAACAACAGTGACCTGCCTATATACAGAGACAGCATTATAGAAAATATGTCCTCCCTGGAGGGAAGCAGAGAGGAGGAAAGAAGCATACACCCGGGGGGTGGGGCTTACACACAAGCTAGGATGTTTGAATGCAGCTTTAGTGAAGTAATAGGTATTTTGTGAACAGTGTCAGGCAGTGGGTGACACAAGGAATGCCTCCCTTCCCCAAAACCTTGTGTTTGCACCAGGTTGTGCATCTTTCATCAGTCTCTGACAGCTATATGGACCAACAGGAACCAGTATGGGCCAAGACCATCTTGCAGGTCTGAAACTGTACTTCCAACCCACCCTTCCCCCAGGCAGAAATACCCAGTTCAGCTTTTGACACAGAAAACTTCTGTACAGCTCCAAAGCTTAGTACTCCACCACAGTTACACCAGCCAATGTTAATGCCAGATGGGTAGCTGTGGCCGGCTGTAGCAGCCAAACTTCAAAGAGAGGATGCAACACAAAACAAATTCAAAACAATGTACCTCTCCAGGGCTTAATAGGGACCTGGGATTCCTAACTCACTTCATGTGCTAATATCTTGCAAACTCCACCCCTTACTAATGTCAATTACCTCTGCTATAACTGCCATAACTTCCTATTGTGTCTGCTTATCTCATGTCATCCTGCACTAAGTTTTGCCTATCTAACAAGAGTGAACTGATTAGTCTTTCAACTGGATCTTGTTTGGAATCAGCCTCTCTTTGTTATATTCCCCCCCCCCTTCTGTTGCGTATATAAATTGGCCTGATGGATTCACACTCCTCTGACTTGTAAAAACTTATACTAGAATATATTTGGCTAGTCTTTAAACTGCCACCCACTTTGTTATGCCACCTACTTTATGCCTGGCAATAGCATTCCTTAGGCCATATGGGATTTTATTTTGAGACTAATGGAACAATCACTTTTATAACCTACACACACAAATACATCACTCAGGCAGTGCCTTCACATGCTGCATTTTTGCAAAGTGTTTAACAATTTGATCTGCTGAGAACTGGACAGAACTGACAACTTCCAGGGCTGGAGGCTATTTATTCACAACCGTCAGCACTAGCCTAATCTGCAAGGACAATAAGAATACTATCAGAGGGTGACACTTGAAAGAAGAAAGAACCAGCTTGAATATCAAAGACCCAAAAATAAGCAGTTGGAGGTAGATGGAACTGGCAGGCTGAGTCCAGCTAAGACCAGTATTATGACAGATGTTTCCAGTTGTGTATCAATGACCTTCGGGAAAGAATGTGCAGCTGAAGATACAAATTTGGTGGGTCAGTCAACACTACAAAGGGGGAGGGGAGTGACCTAGATAAGTGAGGGGCATGAGTAAATACTTGGATAAACAAAACCAATCAGAGCTCGGAGATAGCAGAGAGAGAATCCAAGGAACACCCTCTGCAAGCCAAGAATCATCCTGTTCTCAAATTAAGTTTACTCTGAACAAATAGGTATATGTACTTTTTTTAGACATGTCTGCAATTAACTAATTAAAGGAACCTGAGGGCGTCTCCACATTGGAATTTCCTTCTGGTTTTATGTTTTATTAACACAATGAAAGTGGAAAAGCAAAGACAGCTCATACAATGCAAGGAGCAGAGCCATCAGCCTCCCTTCTTTCCCAGCTATCTGCCCAATTTACTCCTTTCTTACTTTCCTTGCCAGAAAATGCAGTGAGAAAAGGAGGCAGGAGCAGAGAGAGGAAAACAAGATGTGAAGGGGCCTTGCAAGCACCTTCCGTTCTGCTGCTTGAATATTTGCTGGCTAGCAGGTGGGGAATATGCATTGCCAAGGGAAAGTAGCTGTGTGAGTCTGTCGCAGGAAAATAAAACAGAAGTCCATTGGGAAAATGTATAGAACCCAGAGCTTTTGCTAGTCTGTATGATCCACCCTCAGGAGCTGCGGTGGCTCAGTGGTTAAGATGCTGAACTGCAGGCTGGAAGGTTGGTAGTTCAGCAGTTCGAGACCTGAGTGCCGCATGACGGAGTGAGCTCCCGTCTCTGGTCCCAGCTCCTGTCAACCTAGTAGTTCGAAAGCAAGAAACTGCAAGTAGATAAATAGGTACTGCTTTGGTGGGAAGGTAACAGCATTCCGTGCACCTCGGCGTCTAGTCATGCTGGCCACATGACCACGGAAGCGTCTTTGGGCAACGCTGGCTCTTCGGCTTGGAAACGGAGATGAGCACTGCAACCCTAGAGTCGGATTCGACTGGCTTTCGAGCAAGGGAAACCTTTACCTTATGACCCACCCTCACTATTCCAGGAGAAGACAGGAGAAACAGCAGTGAAAGCTGCTGTGGTAGTGGATTTCTGGTGTACCACTTTGACTGTGGGCTCCCCCAGTCCCTCCACAGAAAGGTTTCCCTGCAAAGTCAGTTGCCAAACAGGGTCTTCTTCCCCAGTGTTTATCCTCCCAGGGCACAGAACACCTCCAAGGGCACATTCTCACCAGGAAAGGGATCCAGGGGCAGTTATCCCCCCTCCGTCTGACATCTTGGGCCTTATCTAAAAGTACCCTCCCTGGCCCTGTGAATGCTATTCAAATAAGTTTAAAGACATGAAGATCCATTCACAGGTTTCCAACTTCTGGCTCAGTTTGGCCTTTGGGCTGATAGACACCCAGCCTTAGGACTTTCTGCTGTACCACACATCTTCCAAGCAGGCACCAGCAATACTTCAGGACATTATGAATCACCCCCAGTGCAGGAGGAAAAATCTGACTTCAGACTGAGGCACATCAGGATATCTCTGGAGATGACCCCTGCCCTGCTGGTAATCTGGCATGGAACTCTTCAGGCAAAATGGAGGGGGCAAACGTTTGGGAGGAAAGCCTAGGTGCAAAGTTGGACAGCAGCAGCTACACTCTCATATTAAGTGTTGGGATATTTTAGTCTGAGTTTATGAACTGTTGGGCTAAGGCACCAGCTCATAGGATTGAGTTAGGAGACAGTAAGGCTGCAGTCAAGCGCAATCAGGATGGGCTCGGGACAGCATCTCACAAGTTCTGAGAAGTGAGACCGAAGTTCAGTTGCGATGCCATGGCCTGCATGGGCAGCAGTGATGCTCTTGCTGCATGTGCACTTGAAGAGCCATCCTAAGCAGCCTTACACCCTTCTAAGTCTCCCGAAGTCAATGGGTTTAGAAGCCATCTCTGCTTAGGATGCCACTTTTAACCCAGGCCCAGAGTGTGTTTGATATTTCTCTCTGAGTGCCATCAAATACAAAGGAAGCAATGAAAGTTCAGAAGCAGTGACTGAGGACATCAACAAGACCAGAACACTGGATTGCCAAATTATTGATATGTTCCATCTGCCAAAATCATGTATCACCAATTCTACATCAACATCACTACTTAGCAGTTAGTTCAATCCTTCAAGCTTTAAATGGTCTTGGACCAGCATATCCCAAGGAACACCTTCTCCCATAAAAGCCTATCTAGACAATGAGGTTGTTTGGAGAGACCCTTACCTGTGGACGACCGCTAAAAGAGAGGG